GGTGAGGCAGCATATACAGATTCAAGATCAACTAGTTTAAATCATTTCAGTGGGCTTTGGGGTTTATGGGTGATCTTAGGGTAGAGGAATAGTGGCCCAAGAATGCAAGAGCTTGACAAAGGAGGTGGTTCCTATGTGGTTATGGACAGGTTTGTTTGCATAGGAAGTCACTCTCATGGGTGACTTATTTGCTACCTCTAGGAATCAGCCCTATAAGGGGCAATTCTCTAAGGTTAAGAAGATTGCAAGGTGTCAAAACATCAGAAAATAAAAAGTAAAAGGCATAGCTACTACAACCATATTTAGGTTTCGCAGTCAGTAGCCCAAAGACCTCAGCCAATAGCTGAGAAAGTGAGTTTGCAGATGACTCCAGGCTCAGCCTTCACCAAGTGAGGCAGGAATGTGCTACCATGCAAGGCCCAAACTATGGACTCATAAGCATGTAAACAGTTTTACTTTTTTTTAAGGCATTAAGTGTTGGGATAATTTTTTATACAATCATAATTTGAAAAACAGTAATGAATTAAACCACCACCACCCTCAATTTAAACTTGGACTTAGAAACTTTAGTGGGTTTTTAACAGGACAAATGGTCAGACACAAAGAGAAGATGCAACAGAAGATGAAGTTTTGTCATGTTTATGACAAATAATTTGTGAGGAATAACAGGAATCCTAGGCCAGAGTGACCCTGACCCGAACGACCCAGCTTCCTGAGCTCATCCTGAGGAGTACCAGGTGGCAGGTTTCTCCATAGCCTGAGCTGGGTACCTGTGGGGCTCTGGATGTGCAGAGACCCCCTTCTGCAGAACCATCATGCTGGTCCTTCCCTTTGGATCACTTTCCCTCCAGCCTGCAAGACTATCATGTTTGTACCCATGGTGCCCTGCTAGGGCTTTTCATTCCTCTTATCAAGAACCATACCATTTGAACTTTGTTTACACTTTTAGTTTTTCACACCAGAGAAACTGTTCGGTATTTACATGTGTCCTATTTATTTCACTTAAGAGTATAGTATCGGTGGGACGGGTAGGGGAAGGGTAAAAAGGGAAAAGAAAACAATCTGAGATAATGAAAAGATGGAAATAAAGTGGTTGTAGATGGGGAGGGGAAGAGGGAGTGAAGGGAGGGCAGGGACAAGGGGAAAAAATGAGAACCAAGACCTGTCAGGTAGAGATACAAGATCCCAACAATGAATGTAACTGTACTGTATCCCTAAAATGTACCAATAAACTCAATTAAAGCTGAAAAAAAAAAAGAGTATGGTCTCAATATGCATCCATTTTCCTATGAATCTCTAGTTTCTCATTCTTTATGACTGAGTAGTACTCTATGTTATTGATAATGTGAAATAGGAAGAAAAGGGCTAAAAGAGTAGTGGAAGTGGGAAGGGTAGGGAAAAGGAAAGAAGGGAAAATATGAGAAAAGGAAAAATGGAAACAAAGTGTTTGTAAATAGGGAAGGGTGGAGGGGTTGAGGGAGGGCAGGGGTATGGGGAAAAATAACCAAGATACATCATGTAAAGGTACAAGATCCCAATGATGAATGTAAGTGTATTGTATACCTAAAATGTACCAATAAACATAATGAAAAAAAAAAAAGAACCATAAGGGACTCATAGAGATACAAATGTTAAAGAACTTTGGGAACATTCAGGATCCAGTCAAATCCATACAGAATGGTTTGATGATTTTAGAATATCCAAAAAATTTTTCCAAGGAATTTTAGTCTTTTAGTTTTTTATTTATTTAGTACCAGGGATCAAACTCAGGACCTTGAGCTTGAGAAGCCGGTGCAGTGCCACTGAGCCAAATCCATGGCCCCAACTATGGTTTTTAAAACTAGTATATGTTATGAGGCCATACTCTTAGGTAGAATAAATAAGACACAGTGTGTAAATACTGAATAGTTTCTCTGGTGTGAGAAACTAAAAGTGTAAATAAGGATCAATATGTGTAACTGCTAATGCGAAATAGGAAGAAAAGGTCTATAGGGATGGGGAAGTGGGAGGGGTCAGGGAAAGGAAAGAGAAAAAAAAAAAAAGAAAAGGAGGAAGCTGGGCGCGGTGGTGCACACCTGTAATCCCAGCACTTGGGAGGCTGAGGCAGGAGGATTGCTGTGAGTTTAAGATCAGCCTGGGCTACATAGTGATTTCTAGGTCAGTCTCAACTACATAGTGAGACTGTCTCAAAAAACCAAAAAAGAAAAGAAACAGAGAGCCAGGGATTTGGCTCAGTGGTTCCACTGCCTGCTTTGCAAGTTCAACGACCCAAGTACAATACCTGACAGGAAAAAAAAAAAAAAAAAAGAGAGAGAAAAGGAAAAAATGGAAACAAAGTCTGTGTAAATGGGGGCGGGGGAGAAGATTGAATGGAAGGCAAGGGAATGGGGAAAAAATAAGAACCAATATACAACATGTAAAGGTACAAGCTCCCAATGATGAATGCAACTGTACTGCATACCTAAAATGTACCAATAAATTTAATGAAAACAATATGAAACCCAACAGACACAAAGAAAAAAATTAGTATATGTTAGAGACATATAATCAATATATTCATCATGGGAAGTTGGTATATATACATATCTTGAGTCTTTCTACAATCCCTCCTCTTCTCCACCCTCCTGTCACACTGTCTCCAGATATTCTCAGCAGCTCTACAAAGTCTATATCCTCTCATCTCTTTTATTTTGCTCTTTAAATTACTTATACTTCAGGCTTTGCATATAAGAGAAACCATGAGATATTTACCTCAGCATTATAGTCTTGAGGTGCATGTATTTTCCTACAAATGACTCAAATTTATCCTTTTTATGGCTGAGTAATACTTCATTGCGTACATATTTCACATTTTATTTTTTCATTCTTCTGTCGATGGACATACAGGCTACTTCCAAGGTTTAATTAGTAATAGTTGTGCTGGGGACTGGGGATTTAGCTCAGTGGTTCCGCCACCTGCCTCATAAGTGCAAGGACCCGAGTTTGATCCCCAGTACCAAAAAACAAAACAAAACAAAAAAAACACACACACACACACACAAGAGTTGTGCTGCTATAAACATGGGTATGTGCACAACACTGTAATATGCTTTTCACTCTTTTGGGAAGATATCCAGAAGAGCCACAGCTGGGTCAAAAAGAATGTCTGTTTTAAGTTTTCTGAGGAATGTCAATACTGATTTCCACACCAGTTGTAAATAGGGAAGTTTATATTCCTACCAACAATGTAAAAGCGTTCCTTTTTCCCTACAGCCTTGCCAACATTTTTTTTTTTTGACAACCATTCTTTTTGCAGTAAGATGGAATCTCAGCGTTATTTTGATCTGTACTTCTCTAGTGGTCAAAGATGCTGAGTATTTTTTCACATACCTATTAGTCATGTACTTCTTCTTTTGAGAAGTGAGACTATCCAGAAATTTTACTTTCTTGGTCCCATCTCCAAGCTCACACCAGGACAGGTGCCCCCTTCTGTTTGGACTCATTCCAGAGGCTTCTAGACAACCTACCATTATCTTTATGATCCTCCTTGGAAAAGCAAGGCCCAGAGACAGGAAGCTGCTTGCTCACTGACAAATAACTTGACAAAGAAAGGACTAAGAGGAGACCCCCTCAGCTCTGGGCCCCTTTTACACCTCCTTCCCTACTCACTCCTGATGACACTCAGACAAGCCATCACAGGGAGAGGCCCCTATGGTTGACATCACAGGATCACAATCAGACTGGGTAGACAGTGACAGTTTGGTGGGGGTTAAGAGCCTCATCTAAGAATTCAGTTTAGCACATATGGTGGCAGGGAATTGCATGTACAAGGGGATCTGAATGTGTGTTTCAGGGTAATTAAAGAAGGGTGTGTGCATGTGTAAGAGATAAAGTGAAAGTAGGCAGGGAGGAGGAGGGATTTCCTCAGAGGCCCAGCCCTCTCCCTCCCTAGCCTTCTGGGGAAATCCTTGGGAAAAGCAAAAACTGACTGTAAAATCTTCCTTGCTCTCATTTGCGGTCATGCACATGAGGAAAGCTCAAAGAATGTGTCCAAAATTGAGAGGGTAGGAGGCTGGGCTCAAGGGCAGCTGAAGGAGTAGTGAAGTGCTTGTCAGTGCTGACACATGGAGGTCCAGAGCAGGGAAGACAGAGGGGGAGAAATAGGCAGTGCCAAAGTGAAAACTAGCCTGGGCAGACAGCCTTGTCATATGTGTGCCTTAACATGTATATGTACCCATGTTCAAATAAGCATGTAGCTGCATGAACCAAGATGTGAATCTGTGACCAGACCTGCCTGACCAGGACCCAGCCCTGGGAATGGTGCCAGTGGAGGTGCTGCCACAGGTATCCTCCTGTCAAAGCTGATGCCATAAATGCCTTGAGAAAGAAGTAGGTTTTCAGGTGGGGCTACACATCCATGCACAGCTCTCGTGACTATGCAAGAATGGCTGGTCTTTATCAGCCGCCAGGGGATGATAGGCAGATTTACTTGGCAAACTTTGGCTAAGTCTGGTCTGCCCATCTCAGCTCCAATATAGCCTGTGAGGGCACAGGACAAGAATAAAGGGGCAACCAATGGCTGGGCCAGAGCCCAGGGGCTGGGGAGTATGGGTGAAAGAGCCCATACAAGCATACAAGCCAGCAGCCAAGGGAAAGTAGACCCCATCTGGCCAGCAGCCAAGGGAAAGTAGCCCCCATCAGCCTGGCCAAGTAATAGCTCATAGCTGAGATACAGAGAAGGCATTAAAGGGACAATCTATATCCAGACTAAAAGTGTGAGATACTCATTGGCTCTAATCACCAAATCAACTTGAGACTCTGCCTTTTCAGAAGTCAAAGTCAAAGTCACTCCTGAGGATACCCAGGGCCTGCCCCCAATGCTCCAGGGGCTATTCCTTGATAATAGGGCTTCAGGATGGGACCATGTCCCCTCCTCACCCATGGCTGGCAGGGAGTACATGAGCCAATGATCATGTCCCCCTTTTATAACCAATTTCTCTGGATAGAGCATGTCTGGAATTTTTGAGGGCTTTTCAGGATGCCTTCTTAAACACTGGAAATGTCTCATCAGTCCCATGGTCTTCAGATTAGCAGGTATCTGTCAAATTCCCCGTAATTCCTGACCATCAACTTTATACTCAATGTCTTTTTATTCTCTGTTCTCAGGAGTCCTGGATAGCTACCCTTTTCTCCTTCACTAGTGGCCAGGATCCACTCCCTCCTCCAAGACTGACTGGCAAGTGGGGGGGACATCATTCCAGTTCCCTTACTGGCTACCAACAAGCTCATAAGCCCACATATCCCCCAAGGGATTCTCTGCAAACATCCTGAAAACTGTAACAGTTGGGTAGAGTGGGAGACACAAGTGATCCACTCTGGCTATGGTACACACCAAAGAGCTGGCAGGTAGAAAGACCTTCCGCACCTAGCATAACATAAAAAGGACTTGACAACAGGGTGGCCACCAGGGGGCAGGCTACACTTGCTGGACCACTGACCCATTCATTGAGAGCTTTATTCTTGGAAGGAAAGAGTCAGTATGTGGGAAGGATGTGGTGTACAGATCTCACCTGGGGACAACTAGACAGCATCCATGGGGATGAGGGTTGTGGGAGAGGACAAATAGGAAGTTCCAGGTATGAGTGCACATAGGTACTCGATTGGAAGAATCCACATGTGATGAGGGAGGCAGGTCTTGGGAAGGTTCAGGATATTGAAGGAGCAGGGGTGTTGAATGCAGAAGGATGAGCTGTTGGAGGTCCCCTTAGTATAATGTCCTGGGATGCTTTAGAGTGGGAAGACAAAGCATCCTGAGGTATAAGACAATTTTGATTTTCCTAACACCTCGATCTTCTTAGTCCAGCTAGAGTTTGTGTCTTCCCATGGATCACTACTTCTTTGCTTCAGGTATGCTGCTCCCAGACCATTCCAGCCTGGCATGTAACCATACTTTTTACATGAGCTAAATGAGTCCTACTGCTTTTAAGCTGGTTTGAGTTTTTGCTTCAGGCGATAGTTCTGCAACTAGTTTCTTAGGTAGTCCCTGTTCCTTGTTCAAGAAATCATCAGTGGCTCCAGATGACCCACAGGTTGAACTCTAAACTTAATCTGGCCTGAAGAAATCCAAACTCTTCTTTCATCATTGTGTCCTATTGTTTCTTGATGCAGCCTTCACTGTGGCCACTAGATGGAAAGTGCTCTCTCAGAAAATTGAAGCCTCTGAACAATGACTGTTAACATCATCTTCTCTTGGGTAACTCCCTGGATTTCCAGAGAAGTAAATTAGCTTTACTCTGATCCAGCCTCTGATTATTTCTCTGCCTTCTCCATTAGGCTATGGGACCCTTTGAGTGCTTTGTACACTGCATCTGACTCAACCCAAGCTGGCAAAGTGAAGGCATGTGATGCATACTTGGTGTAGGTGTGGCTTGGCCTGCCTGGGCTAGAGCAGGCCACTTTGGAGCTTGCTATAGATGCTGGGCCTGCTGCTCAGCAGGAGAGAAGGCCCTGGAGGAATCTCATCTAGGTCCCAAGGTGACCCCAGGAGAGAGATCTGTGGATGGATTCCATTATGTATCCACTTGACTAACCACAAGGAATCTGCCCTGATTCTACTTTCCTCCTTTCCCAAGAGACCAACTGTCCCCAGGCTTGGCTATGGAAATAAAAAGTTGGGAAAACTGAACCAGAGAGCTGTGAAGCTAGAGGAAGAAAAAGAGACCAAGAGACACAGTAACAGACACACAAAAGAAAAAAAACAAAGCAGACCAAGAAACAGCCTGTAGGAGAGATTTAAAGATGGAGAGCAGGCAGGAGCAGGTTGGGAGTGCCTGATCCAGAGAGCAACTCAGAGGTCCCTCAACCTTTTACATGGGCACCCAAACCAGAAACTGGGAGACCATTTTATTCTAGCTAATCGCTCATTACTCAAACCCAGTCAGCAGGCAAGACTTGTCCATCCTTTCTCCAAAACATACCTGGAGCGTGTCCAGTCCTCTCCATCCTCATTACTACCACCTCTTCTATCAATGCAGTATCCTCTCTGAGTTTCTCTGACACAGGCACAACCCTTACCCATTCTGTAAGTCAAAAAGAATTTTCTAAACATATGTCTGATCATGTCATTTCCATATCTCTTTTCCTAAAGCCCTACTGTGTATACTGGTTTATGAGGTTTTGCTTTATCTCAGCCCTATCCACCATCAGAGCCCTTAATGCCACCATTGCATTCTTTGATCTCAATGCCCAGTATTTCTCACTCAGCAGCAACCTGTCCTTGTCCTCACCATTAGTATACCCACAGCAGTTTTACCCCCATCATCTACCCATCCCTTCCCACACTCAGTGCTCTACTGGAAACTCCAAGCCAGGCTGCCCTTGCCATTACATTTTATCTTTCTGTCTACTCCTATCCTGATCTCTTGGCTTTTGAATGACTGCCTCAGGGACCCCTGAGGCTCTCTGTCCTTGACATCCTAATCACTTTTTTTTTTTTTTTTTTTTGAGGCAGGGTCTTGCTTTGTTGCTCACTCTGGCCCTGAACTCGCTATGTAGGCCAGGCTGGCCTCCAACTCACAACGACCTTCCTTCCTCAGTCTCCCAAGTGCTGGGATTATAGGTGTGCACCACCATGCCCGGCTCTAATCACTGCCTTCTCACTCTATGTAGCACTTTCTTCCTAGGGTCATGGTGTTTCCTATATTTTCCATTTGCTTTATTTATTGAGACAGGGTCTCACTATGTGGTTCGGGTTGGTCTTAAACTCTCTATGTATTCCAGGCTAGCCTTGAATTCAAAGAGATCCTTGTCTCAGCCTCCTAGGTGCTGGGATTACAGGCGTATAGCACCACAACTCACTCCATTTGCTTTTAAAAAAAATCTTATCCACCAGTTTCCTACTTAAGGAATTATATTTAAATAAAAATTAAGTTAAAGAAAAAATTAAACCTGTCATTGTACAGGTGGTATGATGTATGATGGGATTCTGTGGAACATGACATTCACCAACACTTCAGTGCTACATCCAGATCCCCTTGAATCCTCTTTACTGTTCCTGGGCCTCTATCCTCTCTGTGCCTCAGTGTGTGTTGGCCACAAATGACTGCCACTTGTCCTCAAATCCCTGGATACTCAAACTATCAGAGAGCTCTAAAGTGCCTGAAGACTGTAAGGCCCACAGAGACAGCTATTCCTCATGACTGTGTATCAGTCCTTTGACTTGTGTGAGAATGATAGCTCAACTCCTTTAATCCTCATTTTGGACAATGCTGAGATTCTCAGTGCCTAGTATAGAACTTAGTATACAAGAGGTACTCAATAAATATTTGTTGAGTGAACAAACGTAGCCAGCTGTCAATCCTATCATTTGAAATTTCTAGAGTTTTTGTCATGTTCAGGCCTTTCCTATGTAAGACCAAAACACGTTTACTGAAGTTTGTTCTGATTTTTAAAATAATTACTTGCTCCATCTTCAATCTTCCATAATAACTAAGGTAAAGATATACTTTCTCCTTATGGTTAACCAGGTGTCACAACAATTTTGAATCTATTTTTTTTGCTACTGGGAATAAAATCAAACTTGGGTCCCTGTGCTTGCAAGGTAGGCGCTGGAACCACTGAGTTAAATCACTGGCTTGTCTTTTCTTCATTTGTAACACCAAGACACTGTGTTATCTAAAACTCTGTTGAGTCAGGTATTATTTATAGTGATAGTTAAAAGGATTATGTCACTATCTGGAAAAATGCTAACCATATAATTTAAAATATTTTCAGTTATATAAAAATTTAGTCAACCTACAGGCGAGGATAAGGAAAAATGAAAAATAAAGATTAAGGATGAGGTAGAGCTAGGGGTAATGAAAATTTAAACAGCATATGGAATGGAACAGGGCTTAAAAGACAAGCAAGCTGTCTTCCTGCTAAACCTGAGATAAAGACTTTGGTGAAGGTAGGATTTTTTTTTTTTTTGAGGTGAGGATGGTGGGGATTCAGATAAAGGAAAATTGTTACTGGTGGCTCCTGGGGAGTCACTGCTACAGAAAAGGCTAAAAAGGAGTCTCTACAGATGAAAATCACTTCCTTAGCCTCATATACAGAGTTGAGTTCTTTCCTAGTCTTAAGGGAATAGTCCCTTGGAAGTACCTCATTCACACTCTCCCCGCCCAAGCAATCTAGGCTTTCACCTTGGGATTCGGGTAGTTTAAATGCTCCCTTCACCTGGCAGATGTAGCAGAAAAACTGATGTCTGTGGTTATCCAAACAATGTTTCAGAATCATATCCCCAGTCCCTCCCCAAACAGCTATCACTGGAAAATCCCCCTCTGACCTCTTAGAATTCAGCACTTTCTTTTAAAAGTGAATTCAGAGAACGTCTGTTCTCACCAGATCCCAGGCCAGCCACATTCTTATTGACAAATGAGAAGAGCATTTGAAGTGAGACTAGGTAAGTCCTGAGTAGCATCAGGCCCTAACTGCACTTGGAAAGGTTAGAAAGGTCATGCCCTGGAGCTTGCCTTCCTAACCACAAGTGTATTTCACTTTTTATGGCTGTCACACACGCTATTCACTGGGTTTCTATGATGGCCTCAGAAGAGCAGCTATTCCTGAGTGAGCACACCTGAAGGGCAACAGGCACCAGCGCACTCCCTAAACCATAGGCACAGTGCCAGGATGGCACCTGAAGTCTTGGATTGAGGGGCAAAACGGCCACTTCTTGCCTAATTACCTTTTACAGCAGCTCCGCTGAAGCGCTTTCTCACTTGCCTCAGCCACAGGAGCCCTGTCTCAGGGCTGTCCCTCATACAGGAACCCAAGGATAGTCCGGCGAGGTCTTCGGGCTACCAGGAGGCGCTTCCGAAAGTATTTAAAACTCTGGAGAGGCTCACTGGTCCGCCAGTGTCCAGCATTCAGCTCCAGGCTCATGTGCGTGAAAAGTGAGAAAAACCCTATTAGCCTCGCCTCCTGGAAGCCCCTGGGCTCGGACCGGACAGGCCTTTCCCAAGCTCCACAGCAAACCCGCAGGCGGAGACTAGAGCTCCCCGCGGGGCGGTTTGCTCAGCCCGGCCCACTTACGTCACACCCCGCAGGCCCTCTCAAGCATTCTTGATTGGTGGAGAGCGCGCACGAGCGCTCCCGCCCCCTCTCCCGCGGGCCCTCCTGCGGCACTCCCCCGCCCACCGGCTGTCTAGGCCCAGTGTGGCCTGCAAGTTGGGGCGTGAAGGCCCGGGCGCCCTAGGGCTCAGACTCTGAAGCTGAGGGGGCGCTTTCCCGTCACGCCCAGGCGCTGGCCGTCGCCCCAAGTCTGACAGTGGCCGGCTTCCCTGCACACGCAGTTCTTGCCCAAACGCGGCCAACCCAGGCCCCCCGATCGCAAGCACCCGGAAATGCCCGTTGCCCGAGCTCTAGGCGTCCACGAGCCAGGAGTCGGTCCCGAGGACAGGCAGGCTCCGGGCCCGAATGCTGACGTGGGTTCCACGGATCCTGGGCTGCAGACCCTC